GTCCCCCACACTCTTGCACCTCTTTACTCATACCAACACCAATTTTAATGCTTTACTGGGTCAAAAATCCAATGCAATCGCTCTAAGACCACACGGAACCATATTGGGGAAGTAAAGAGGTTATAATCCAAGTTAGTAGCAGAATACAGTTAGGACAGCTTCTGAAATGTTCTTTTTTTTTAAATTTTTTATTTTATTATTTTTCTGTGAGTGTACCATCAAATCAGATCTGACTGGTACAGGAGGAGATTGTCCCTCCTTCCCCGACAGAGCATCTGGTGGATTTGAACCGTGCGCCTCTGGGATTGTAGTTGCAGCTCCTTGCCACTAGGCCACCAGAGCTCCCCTTGAAATATTCTTGTAAGCACCTCATCCTTGAGTCATGCAGCTTTGTAACCAAGGAAGGGGAACAGTAAGAGAGAAGAAATTACAGAGCGTTAGGAAACTTCTAGAGGTGATAGATATGTTCATTCACTTTATTGATAGTTTAATGGGTATGCAAATATCAAGTATGATAAAAATAACACTTTACATACGCATAGCTTAGTGCATGTCATTTAGTTTTTACTGCATGTCACATGCACTTCCAAAAACCTTAAATTTATTATGAGAGTATCATGATTTATGATAACAGTCTCAATCCTTAAGAATCAGGCTGGCATCAATCTTAAAAAAATCAATATTCAAATGTTTAAAATTGAACTATTAATAACTTTCTAGGGAAATTCTATCTATATTAAAAAGATAGGTCATTGTTGGGTATCTGGGGGAATAGATGAAAGGTGAATAAGTGGAATATAAGATATTTGTAGGCAAATGAAACTATTTTCTATGATACCATAATGCATTTTTCAAAACTCATAGGACTGTGCAACAAAAATTGTGAACACTGATGTAAACCACTGTCTTCAGTTAATAATAAAGTATCAATATTGGCTTAGCAGTTGCAACAAACATACCACAAGAATGAAAGATTTAGTAATAGGAAAAATAGTGTGGAGGGGTGGGAGGTGTTAGGTATGTGAATCCCCAAACCAAGATGATTGGCATGAATAAACTGACTACCCCAGATCTAAATTCATCTCCAGTTTTTTTTTTGGTTTTTTTTTAAATTTTTTTTTCATCTCCATTTTTTAATCAAACAGTTACTTGGCGTAAAATCTTTGCTGCTCTGTTCTGAAGAGACAATATAGCTTATCATAACTGCTTAGAATCCAAATGGAGCATGCGTCAAGATTTTAGTGTGTGCCATCTAAGATAAAACAATTGATCTCTTTCTGTTAAAGAATAATGAAAATTAAAGACTCAAGGAAACATTTAGTCCCAAGAACTTACTGACTGCGAGCACTATAGTCGCCTCCACAAGCCTGATAAGAAATAGATGGTACCTAGTTACTACCTCATCATGCTGATCAGGACCACAACAAATCCTGCACAGAGTAGGAGGAAAATGTAGAACAAACTTTAAAATCATGAAAAATCAAACCTGGTAGCAAGGAAATCAAAAGACAAATTGCACTGGGAAAAATCTGCTGTCAGGGACCTCTCCGGAGTACTGAAGAGCCCAACAGAGTTCCCAAGTAAAATGCAATAGTTACAGAGTACTGAAGAGCAACAATGTCAGTTTAGAGACTAAGGTGTGCCTGATCCAGGACATAGTCTTTGCAGTTACTTGCTATGCATCAGAGAGCTGAACTAAAGGTGACAGAAGAAGAATTTATGCCTTTGAGTTGTGGTGCTGGAGAAGAGTATTGAATATACCATGGACTGTTAGGAGAACAAACAGGTTCATCCTGGAGAAACCAGGCTGCTTCTTGGAGGCAAAGATTTTGAAGCTCTGTCTGACATACTTTGGGTATGTTGGTTTTTTTTTTTTATTTTATTATTTTTTTGTGAGTATATCATCACATTGGATCTGACTGGTACAGGAAAAGATTGTCCCTCCTCCAGCAGAGCATCTGGTGGATTCAAACTGTGTGCCTCTGGGATTGCAGTGCAGCTTCTTGCCACTTAGCCACCAGAGCTCCCCAACTTTGGATATGTTTTAAGAAGGGACCCAGTCCTTGGAGAGGGACATCATACCTGAAAGTGTGGAGGGACAGTGCAAGAGAGGAAGACCCTGGATAAGATGGGTTGACTCAGTGACTGAGGTAATGGGGGTAGGTGTTTCAGAGATAATGAGGTTGGCTCAAGATAGAGCAGGGTTCACAGCTCTTGTACATAGGGTCGCTGTGAGTCACAAGTAATTCTATGGCACATAATAACAACAGTGGTATAATACATGATAGAGAATGGCAAAGGAAATGCTAAGAAAGCAAATCAGAAACTGTTCTGGACAATGATGTGTGACTGGCAATATAACACAAGAAAAATGGACTCATAAAAAAAATGAAGTAGCTGAAAGTAGAGCAAGCAGGGGCCTCTATGAATTCATCAAAAGCTGTGCACTGCCATAAAATAATCAAAAGCTGGGTTAGCTCCACTCCCTGCTGGAAAGGACGTATAAACTCATATGAAGGATAAGGATGGGGTAAGTCCTTTCCGAACCTATTCATAATCTCTTATAAACCTCTTTTCAACCTGTTTGTTTTGCTTGCTCTCACTCTCTGTCTTTTCATGGCAGCATTCTATCAAAGACGGGGAGACCCCTGTACCTCTTTGGAAATCATCTCCCTTGACGATAGAGACTGGTGAAAATCCTAAGACTAACCCTTCAACACCCTTCAAAACTGCATTGGACCTCATTTTCCATCAAACAACAGACAAGCCAACAAAGTGAACAGTAACACTCACAAAGAACACATTCCTCTGAAGAATCAACCATGAGACCAAAAAGTAAGCTCTGGCCAAAACCCAAAATTCAGAAGGCAGAGGCAGGAAAGATGGATATATGGAAATAGGCAAGGCTGGGAGGATTTAGGGGATTGCTACTACCCTGTATTTCCACATATAACACACCCACATAAATGCTTATAACACATAGGAAACTAAGACTTCTGAGGAGTTGTAAGGTTTGCAAAACACAGATAAGTATGCCCTGTTTGTATGAAAACTACAATAGTATGTGAAACAATGTGTGCATACACTACTGAATTGAAGTTATTCTTTAAACTTTCACTCAAATCTGAAAAAAAAACCAACCCCAACCAACAAATAACTACCACAAATGTGGCTAAGTGCTGTGCTTATCTATTACAATTTTATTCTGTGCGATGACTTATTAAGATTGTCACACATCTGCACAAAAGAATGTTGTTCTTATGTGCCATCCAGTCGCCTGGGACTGATAGCGACCCTATATGCAACAGCCGTAAACACTGCTTTATCCTGTTACAATCTCGTTGTCTCTGACACACTTACCCTCATTACCCCAGTCACTGAATTAATCCACCTCATAGAAGGTCTTCCTCTCCTGCGTTGTCCCTCCACACTCCCAAGCATGACGTCCCTCTCCAAGGACCGGTCCCTCTTTGCAATATGTCCAAAATATGTCAGACGAAGCTTCAGAATCCTTGCTCCCAAGGAGCAGGCTGGTTTCATCTTCTCGAGGAAAAATCTGTTTTCTTAGCAGCATAAAAGAATACCTTGGTCAATTTGTTCAAATTAGAAAATTCAGATGACAACGTATTGACAAGTGCTGCAAACCTCTAGCAACATTTTGTCTTGCACCATTGTTGTCTGTGGGTACCCAACATAAATTCTACTCCCTGCTTGCAAATTTCTGAAGTTTTGTCTGACATACTTTGGGCATGTTGTAAGGAGGGACTGGTCCTTGGAGAGGGACATCATGTTTGGGAGAGTGGAGGGGAGGCGCAGGAGAGGAAGACCTTCAATGAGATGGATCGATTCTGTGAGTGGAGTGGTGGGAATGAGTGTGTCGGAGACGGCGAGGTTGGCACAGGATAGAACGGCGTTTAGGGCTCCTGTACATAGGGTCGCTATGAGTCGCAAGCGACAGTGTCATTCCCGGGTACTTGTGTGTGTTCCTACTGGAGTCTGTCTTTAAAAAAAAAAAATCTTACTTTCAAAGTGCTTCACTACAAAAATTGAAACGGTGTCTTCCGCAAACTCAAGACTGCTCTAAAAAATACAGCCTATTAAGAAAAACATGGATTTTAAAAATTTTCCTCTTTTCTAGCCTCACCATAACACAAGACCAAATGTCTGGACTGTGATTCTATTAAAAACCTCGGGCTCAGTCACAGTACTTTTTAACTTGGCACATTCCACCGTGACATCATGTAAGTCGGCTGAGTGTGCAAAAATCTCCACTCACGGCAAGAAAGACATGCAATTTTCTTTGCGTGACGGGCAAATGATGCAATAGCCCCGTGGAATATATGACTCAGTGTCTCCCAGAAAAGCCATCAACTATAAGGGACATTGTGAGGACGCTAGGAGTTAAGTGAGGCTGGCCAAGATATAAAAATTCCAACAAAGCGACCTGCCATCCAGCCAGCAAAGCGCGTACGCACAGTCACGTGGTCACGCGGGCACCGGTGGTGTTGTCCCGCTTTCCGGTCCGGTGCAGTCCCAGCCCGCGGATTTTAGGTCCGGCCCTCTGTAGTTCCCCCCCGCCCCGCCCCAGAGCGCACTTGCAGCGTCTTCCCAGCGGAATCGCTTCGAGCACGTGTACGCGCACTGGTACATCGTCTTCCGGGGTGGAGAGCAACCTATCCCGGAAGATAAAGGACTGTGGGGACGCTGTTTGGTGTTGGTCTTCCGTCCCAGAGGTCAGAGGGCTCATCAATCCCCACGCTAATAGACTTTTAAAAGCTGGTCTTGGCCCTGGAAGGGACGTTCTTTAGTGTCCTCAGCGAAGAAACCAAAAACGAGGGTGGGCAGGGGAATCAAGGGAGAGCCCGAGCATTTGGCCCTGCACTATTGCGGCTTGGCGTTGTATCCAGGGCGAATGAATGCTCATTTCCAGCGCCGTCTGGCCCTGGGCTGAGAACTTTCTGTCTAACCACCGCTTTCCTTCCCCGTCCAGCCCGCTGACCATGCCCGCGGGTGTGCCCTGGCCCACCTATCTGAAAATGTTCGCGTCCAGCCTGCTGGCCATGTGCGCGGGGGCCGAAGTGGTGCACCGGTACTACCAGCCGGACCTGGTGAGTGCGGGAGGGGCTCCAGACCACTCCAGGCTCCTTACAGCAGCAAACGTGATCCTGGAGTGAGGTTGGGGTAACATCTCTCCAGGGCGTAAAACCTTAGGATGGCATCCCTTTGCATTTAGAGTTGGGGGCGGGGGTGGTTGTGGTGTGGTGGGTTTTTTTTAAGGTTCCCTATTTTTTTATGCTGTCCCAAGCGTTTTCAAGTCCACTACAACTAATAGTTCCCCTCTAAACAACAGACTGAAACTTTGTCCTATTCATGCATATGAGACGGTTTAAAATACCATCGCTTTAGTCAGTCATTGCGTAGTCCTCAAAGTGACATTCTTTGTTCTTTGACATTTTAAAGTGGCCATTTGCAGCAGAGGTGCCCCGTGTAACATATTTGATTTTTTTACTTTTGCTTCCATTGTTGTTAATTGTTGATCCAAGTAAAATGAAATCCTTAACAGCTTCAGTCTTCCCTGATATCACGTATTGCTTGTTGGTCCCGTAGTGAGGAATTTTGTTTTCTTTATGCTGAAGTGTAAGCCATACTGAACTGAAGACTGTCTTCATCAATAAATGCTTCAAACCAGGTTCTATCATTTACATATCACAGTGTAAATAAATAGTGTATAATAGAAATAACAGTATTTCCAAGCAATAACCTCTTGTTCTGTTCAAATGACAGCCTCTTGGTCTATGTTCAAGTTCCACATAAGCATAATTAGGTGTTCGGGAATTTCCTTTCTTTTCGCTGTTAATAAAGAATTTGTTATGATCCGCACAATCAAATACTTTTGCCTAATCTTTTCTGGTATTCTCTGCTTTCAGCCAAGATCTTACAACATTGTCAGTGATAGCCCTCTTTCCATGTCTTTAATCTGGCTTGAATGTCTGGTAGTTTCTTGTCCATGTATTGGTGCAATCGTTCTTAAAAGAGCAGAATTTTGCTTGTGTGATGACATCTCTCAGTTTTTGCATTATTTGGATCACCTTCCATTCCAGTGGGCATGAATATGTCTGGTGGGTCAGGTCTTCCAAATTGTTTAAAGTGGATAACAATAATAATGAAGTTTCCCCCAGTTTCCTGTTCATTTGGTGAAACATCTCGGTTGAGCATGGGCCAATTCTTTTTGGCCCAGTAACTATATTTCATGACACAGAGACTACTATAGTGGGCTTGAGCACAGGAGATTGTGAGGATGACGCAGGAGAGTGCAAGGTTCAGATCTGTTAGACACAGGGCGCCTGTGAGTTAACCCCACGACACCTAACAGCAAAGCCTCACATTAAATAGATCCTATTTAATTATAGTCTAAGCCATCACATGCGTGTTTTCTGACTTGTTTTGTTTTTCTTTTTTTGTAGACAATACCTGAAATTCCACCAAAGCCTGGAGAACTCAAAACACAGCTTTTGGGACTAAAAGAGATACAACATGAACCTCAGATTTCGAAGCAGTAAAAAACCTAAAACACAACTATGCCAAGGATTCTGTGAATAATATTATAAATCTTGAACATATATTTTTAAATATTTATTGAAAGTCAAACTACTTGTTCTGAAGCATCTAATGTAATATTAACTGTGAGAGCAGGTATCCAACAGATAAGAACTTTGTTGAGAATTAACAATGGTTTGGCCAATGTGTCTTGGAAACGGCCACAACTTTTTCATCAGCTTCTTGAATGTGGTTTTGAAGATGTTTGCTTACTTTTGAATATCATGTGGGATAAAGTGTTTGAAAAGTCTTCTGTCATTATAATGCCTATTTATTTTTCTGAATAAGCTTTAATTATAATGGTGAATTAGGGTCATAAATTAACTATAATAAAAGTCACGTTGATAGTGTTTATGGTGTAATTCTTTTCTAGAAGTCACAGAAAATACAGAGTATGATAAGTTGAACTATAGTGTTTGAATTTCTTTTGGAATTGTATATTTAAAGTTATAAATCACTTTGGGCTATCATGAATTCTGTATTCCTAAATTTGGAAAGGATGTTGATTGTGGATACAAGTAAGATGAAATTGTTGTCAGTCTTTTCTCCATCTTACTTGGTGTTGCCTATTGATCCAGTGGTGAGAATCTTTGTTTTCTTGGCATCTTGACATACAGTCCATCTTGAAGGCTATATTCTTTGATCTTCTGCAACAAGTGCTTCAAGTCCTCCTCACTTTGAGCAAGCAAGGTTGTATTATCTGCATAACTCAAGATATTGATTACTCTTCCTCCAATCTTGATGCTACTTTCTTCCTCATAGATTCCAGCTTCTTGAATAATTTGTTCAGCACACAGATTGCATAGGTATGGAGAGAGGATACACCCCTGACATACTCCTTTCTTAACTGTAAACAATTTCATATTAGATCCACAATGCCCTTGATCCCTGTGGTCAGGAAATAAGGAGACATATTGCTCTGGGAAAGCCTACAGTTAGGGAACTCTCCAAATTATTGCAATGATACAATTTGAGGAATAATGTGTGTCTAATTCAGGCCATGATCTTTCCTATCACTTCCTATGAATCTGAGAGCTGGACAATGAATAAGGATGACAGAAGAAGAAGTGATGCCTTTGAGCTGTGTTGTTGGAGAAGAGTACTCAGTATCCCATGGACTACCAAAAGAACAATCAAATATGCCTCGGAGAAAGTGCGGCCAGAGTGCTCCTTGGAGGCAAAGATGATAAGCTTTGTCTTTCATACTTTGGACATGTACCTAGGTGAGGCAATTCCTTGAAGAGGTTGGCAAAAGAGAGGAAGACCCTCAACCAGGTGAATATAGTGATGGATACAATGGGCTCTAGCGTGCCAGGAAGTGTGAGGATGGCACCACATAGGACAGGGTTCCGATCTGTTGTACACAGGGTCTCTACGGATCTCCCTCAACAGCGTCTAACAGCAAAAAATTAGGAAAACCGCTTTCAAAAAAAACATTTAACTTTTCAAATCGTAAGTATTTTAAAATAGTTGAAAGCTATAAATGATCATCTTAGCTTTTTTACTGAGTCAATAAATGAAGAAAAATAATTTCTAGAGTATAGTTGACTTTCTAGTCAAGGACATTTAAAGCTTGTGGGTTTTTTTAGAATTCACCTTCTTACATGGTTAATAAATTGCTACATGAGATAGCTCTTTGGGGTCAAAGGTGAAACCTCAAGTATTTAAATAAATCCCTAAGTGCCTACAAAGCCCTTTTTTCCGGAGTCGTGTCCTTTTTAGTTGAACAGAATAAATGAAGTGGTTTATTTCCAGCTTCATATGTGGAATCCTTGAATTTGTCATCTGCTGTGCCATTTGGTGCCATCTCCGATGCTCCAATCACAAAGCAGTGCGCTAGTGAAAAGACCTTTAATTCTTCAGCAGAAGATGGTGTTTTCAAAAAAAAAAAAAAAAGAAGATGGTGTTTTCAGTTGAGACTTCCTGCTGTTTGCAGCTATTTTACTTCCCATGACTGACATGTGCCCTCTTAATGCTCAAAGTTTATAGCCACCTTTCATTGAGTACTCTTTTCCTAGGGAAAAAAATACCATATACATTACAAATGGAGAACTTTGCCACAGCTGTCGCTTGTAAAATATATAGGATTGGAAGAAGTTTGGCTTTAAAAGAATAATATCTTTTTGGTGATTTGCACAGAAATTTAGGGTTCAATTCAACTGCTCCTTGGAGGCAAGGATTTTGATGTCCCATCTCACATATTTTGGATATGTTGCCAGGAGGGGCCAGTCCTTGGAGAAGGGCATCATGCTTGGAGAGTCTCTGACAGAAGATTTTCCCAATGCAGTATGTTTTCTGATTTCCTGACTGCTGGTACCAAGGATGTTAATTGTGGATTCAAGTAAACTGAAATTGTTAGTAATTGCCATCTTTTTTCTATATCATAATGTTCTCTATCAATCCAGTGGTGAAAATTTTTGTTTTCTAGATACTGAGATATAATCCATATTGAAGGCTACAATCTTTGATCCTCTGCAGCAAGCACTTCAAATCTTTGTTTTTAAGATTTTGTATAAACATAATTAATTGTTCTCGAATTCTCATTTTTCTCAGTTTTAGCCATATTTTATTATGATCTACACAGTCATAAGCCTTTGCATAGTCAATGTTGTTATGTGCCATTGAGTTATTTGTGACTCAGCGACACTAAGTACAACAGCTCTGAACCCTGCTCTATCTTGAGCCAACCTCATTGTCTCTGAAACACCTACCCCCATTACCCCTGTCACTGTGTAAACTTCTCTCATCCAAGGTCTTCCTCTATTGTCCCTTTCCATGGACTGATACCTCCATGCAACATGCCCAGAGTATGTTGGATGAAGCTTCAGAATCCTTGCCTCCAAAAAGGAACCCTGTCCAGGATAAACCTGTTTGTTCTAGTAGTTCATGGCATATCCAACACTCTTCTCCAGCACCAGTTCAAAGGCATCAATTCTTTTATCATCCATAGCCATTGTCCAGCTTTCTGATCCATAGCATGTAATTGCGAAGACCATGGCCTGGATCAGGTGCACCTTTGTCTCCAGACTGACATTGTTGCTCTTCAGTATTCTGGAGAGGTCCCTGACAGCACTTTCCCAATGCAATCTGTCTGATTCCCTGGCTGCTGCTACCAGGAGTATTAATTGTGGAGCCAAACTTTGTCTTCTTGATGCTGAGCTTCAATCCATATTGAAGACTGCAGTGTTTCACCATCTGCAGCAAATGCTTCAGGTCCTCCTCAGTTTAGGCAAGCAAGGCTGTGTCATCTGCATAACATAGGTTGTTGATGAGTCTTCCTTCAATCCTGATGTCATGTTCCTCCTCACAGAGCCTAGCTTTCCAAACGATCTGTTTTGCATATATATTGAAAAGATAGATAAGACACATCCCTGGTGTATGTTGTTAAGTGCCAGGAAGTCCAGTCTAGGCGACTCATAGCGACCCTATGGAGGAAAGTCCTCAACACTTGTGTGACTTTCATTCTCTCTAGGTTCATAGGGTTTCCGGAAGCAAGCCATTACGGAAGTGGATGCCACTCCTGCTTCCAAGCTTGTTTTAATCAGGGAGCTCCGCCAAATACTGTCCGTCATGGGTAACAATTAACACATTTGACACATCAGTGTCCAGTGTTCAGTTTGACAACAACCACAAGTTGCCTCTGTACAGCAAGTGGACACACCAGGGCTATATGACCTAAAAGAATGTTTGAACAAAACAATGAAAGACGGGCCTGAGGGCTGCAAATTAAAAGTCACCCACATTTAGCTTTGTAGCATTGCTTTCTGTCCACTGGGCCAACTGATCGCTCTCTACGTTGATGTTATTGTTGTTAAGTATCATCGAGTCGTAGGGGTCTCATAGCGACCCTATGAAGGAAAGTCCTCAATACTTGTGTGACTTTCATCCTCTCTGGTGTATACCTTTCCTAATATTGAACCATGCAATGTCTCCTTGCTCCATTCTAACCACTGCCTCCTGGTCCAAGAATAGGTTTCACATAAGTAAAATCAAGTGTTCTAGGATTTTCATTCTTCACAGAGTCAGCCACAGTTTGTTGTGATCCACACAGTCAAACACCTTTGTATAGTCAAAGAAACACAGCCATTCATTCCCCTGGTACTCTCTGCTTTCAGCCAAGATCCATCTAACATTGGCTAAAATACCTGTGGAGGAAGAATGTCACATTTGGCCTCAGGACTGATCACTCCTTGAAAAATCTGATGACATCTAGGGCTGCCAGATCGGGGACCAGACTAGACAATGGATCCTGATAAGTCTCTGGGCCTGATCACAAAAGCCCAAACCCGTTAATAGCCCAAATTCTGAGCAAAATACCATCTTCCCTAGTCCCCTCTAGAGCCCCTATAAAAAGAGGCCATGATTAGGTATTATTTTCATGATAAGAGTCCAGAATGAGAGCTGCATGGGGAGTGGACTGGTGGGGGTGGGGGAGTTGTATAATAATGAAAGGGGTTTTTTTGTTTGTTTTGTTGGTTGGGTTTTTGGTTTGTTTTTGTTTGTTAGTTTGTTTTTACTTTTCAAAGAGAAAAACCAACTGGGGAGGGGGGGTGGGCAGGGAAGAAAATGTGCAACAATGAATGAATGGAAATCCAAAGTCTCTATAAACTTTAATTAAAATATCAATTTAAAAACAAACACGAGACCACTGTAGACCACCCTCACGCCATTTTTACTTTTTCTGCTCCTGGTCACTTGGCATCACTCTCAGACCACGCAATAAAGGCTGGTTTATTTCTTGGGACCAGTTCTTTCTCTAACCCTTAACTCTTTTTCTACCTAACAATTCCTAGTGTCATTGCTTCTTTTAAATGAGCCTGAACACCTGGCAGTTCTCTATTGATGTGCTCTCTTCTAGTCATTTTTGGACAATTTTTAGAAGGATCTTACTTACATATGATGTTAATGATATTGTTGGACAATTTCCATGCTCTGTCAGGTCACGTTGTTTTGGAATGGGAGC